TCAGTTGCATATTGTGTGCAGCTGTTATGAGTGTTTATGGAGTTGGCTCGCATGTAGGGCACATGGGGTATGTGTGCTGCTGTCTAGTTTTTAGTTCTTGTAGTGTTTCAAATATCGACTTATGCGTATCACTGTATGTGTCATTCATATATTATATGCCTTTGCTGATTTTATATGTTGTATGTTTCTAATGTGTTTAAGTGTTTTCCTTTCTTTCTCTGTGTTTATAATATCCATAATATTATACTCCCTCATGCATTTCCCGTGTTGAGTATGTAGTTCGAATATCCAGAATTTCTGTTATTATTCATGAGTTCCTGTATATGTTATTTATATGTCGTGAGAAAAGTTCGACCTGTTTGTCCTACGTATTTTAATGGGCAGTCTCATTTTATTATTGTTTTCGTATTTATCTAGTTGTAAATGAGGTTTTATTATATTCTGTATTGTGTTTCTTGTTCTTGTTCCCTTCAGGGTTTTCCGAACAAATTTGCCGGTTGCCTACCATGTAGGTCAAACGCATGATAATTGTACTAGCCTCACTTTGGGGTTCAGAAAAATTTCGGAGTCACGCGACTTAATTAGTACGTTGGGCAGAGTCATCATTCTTATTGAGCGTGTTGATTTTTTAGAGAAATTTTAACATGTGATTAACTTATTTTGACACGAGCCACTTAGATATATAATATACGTATATCGTGAGGTGCAGATAGCAAGTAGGACAGAACAAACAGTGAAAATTTTGTGCATGCCTCCCACTCCTCTCAGAAACAATATATGATTAAATTCCCAATTTGGAAGTTCTGTTGCCAAGACAGTTATCCTCTCCAAGTGTGATCAGGTTACTGACCGCCAGACCTCCGCGTGTAATGAGACTTACGGAACCGACAGATACTATCATAGTGTCCCCTGGGGCCTTCGTGGCCCGGTCCTGAAGAATACGCGCCCATTCTCACATCCGTATATACGGACAGAATGTAGTCTTCCACATTGTTCTTGCATCTCATACCGAGCAAGCTGGTCTAGCGATAACGCTCTAGACCTGTATTCGACAGATGCTTGGTTCGAACCTCGGCCGACTTACCGGCAAGCCTAACGAGGGCTTTCGTAATTTTCCTGAGTTCCTCCACTCACGTGCCAGAATACTTCCTGGATAGGACCAACACCATCTCTTTCCAAATCCTCTCTAATTCATTATTCGTCAGTTATCTGTAATTTAGCGCCGTATACATTGTCTAGATACTGACAGCATCGAAAAATAAGCCACCTAATCTTGCGCCTTGTGTAACTGCAGATGAATATTGGTTCTGTGTTCATGGTCTGTTCTAGATCTCGTGTTTAGTGTGGGGAGTCGCTAAAAGTAGTTCAGTAGAAGTAAACAGTTAATATTTGAAGAAACATTTCTGTTCGTGAGCTGACGTCTGTGATTCCTGCAAAAGCGAAGTCGTGTAAGTTGCAGATTTCGTTTCCGTTATGCCTATTAATTATCTGCAGTACGGATAGCACTTGAATATGTGATTTCATTTATCGATGTTAGTCAGGTGGCATCTTCTATAGTTCTGGATGCTACGTTTTTGACGTACCGTTTGTCAGGGTATGTGAACCACAATTTACTGCTTGGTAGGCATAGTTATTAGAGACCGCGCACGAAACTAAGATACACGAAATATTAATTCCGGAGCCCAAACCGGATACATCGTCACGCATTGACGATTTTGGATAGTACAAAAAAAATCATTTGTCAAATTAAAATATTTACTTACGATTTTTGCAAATAACCATTTTAAAGAGCTTATAACATATACTGCAGATATTCCTGTTAAGTAGAAATTCATGTATATACAACCTGCACTCCCCCCCGTCGTAGTGCCTGTTTGATACGTGTCTGGGAAGATCCGACGTTTTTACTTATATGATAGATTTGGTTTTCTGTTCGTGAGAAGCATGCTGTTTTCGCCTCGTGGCTTGCACAGTTTGCATATCATCATGCAATCTTGTAGAATTGATGGAAGGATGTTTTCTGGCTGTGGTCCAGCTCTACCACCGGCAGTCTTGCAGGTGGGACAACTTGCAGCAAAACTTCGTCCTTGTTTCTCTTTGCAGCATGTCTGCTTTCTTAATATAGAAAGATACGCTATCATGAGCTGATTTTTCGTTCTGAACACAAAACCAGCCACCTCACGTAAACGGATTTTTAAATGTGACTTGCTTCCTTGTGCAAAGTTATGACTTAGTACGCTGTATACTAAATCTGCAACTAGTATTTGTTGAATCATTTATCATCCGTCCTCTCTTCAACGATTTTAAGCAAGTGCCTCAGGGTTTGACTACCTGAATAGGGCTCCCGAATGAGGCCAGTCTGACAACTGAAGCCGTTAAGGCGTTACTGCGTTGGCCTCGATTTTAGAACCTTCAGTCTCGTAGTCGAATCCGGATAGGATTTAATGCACTTAAAATGGGCTTTGGTGTTACTGGAACTAACCGAATCCTCGTTTTGTGTTTATGCAATGAGCCAATGACCCCGTGGAACTCTTTTGTTTGTGGTTCTATATTCCGTTGTTTGTGTTACGAATATCTCTGGTCCAAAAGGGTTTTAGTGGCTTTGTGTAGTACAGGATTTCTGGTAGTGTAATGGGCCACTGCCTCTGCGTCACAAAACATAATGACGTATAGCCTACACACAGTTCGGTCATGTTATGAATATGCAGTTTTGGGTTTGAAGTATGAATCTATCGTACATTTAATTTATTCGTACTTAAGTAATGTTCCCATAGAGTAAAGTTCTTCTTCTTCTTCTTCGTCTGCTTATACAGATTTCTGTCTGTGGCCTATTCCAGTTCAAAATTAATTTCTGAGACTGTGAATATTTCACGCGTTTGATATTGATCCAGCCCATCTTGAGGCTTCCGCCTAGAGCGAATTTAATAACTAAAATAATACCGTCTATCTTCCAATCATTTCTTCCCTTTTTTCATGGAATTTTGTTTAAAATATTTTTATATGTTTGTCTTAGCTGCGTAACATGTACTCTTCGCCAAATATAATTAGAATTATCAAATCGAGGAGCGTGGGATGGGGATGTAATGTAGCACACATGCGGGAAGAGGAATTCATGAATAGTTTTGTATGGATAATAATATTAAGATGGATCTTAGAGAACTAGGATGGGGTGGTATGGTTTTGATTAATTTGGTTTAGGATTGGCACCAGTGGATTGCTCTTGTGATGGCGGTAGTGGACTTGAGGGTTCCTTACCGTTCTCCATGGAGTGAGGAATTTTCTTTTTGTTGCTAGTGGGGTGGGACTAAGTCCCTTGTACTGCGGCCACTTCTGGCCTATTGTACCAGCCCCAGATGATAGGTGAGGGTCATTGTGGAGCAATTGGTGGAATGAAGATTGGCAGGGGAAACCGAAGTACTCGAAGAAAACCTTCCTCAGCGTCACTTTGTCCACCACAAATCCCACTAGACCAGACCCGGACCGCCGCGGTGGGAAGCCAGCGACTAACCGCTTGAGCTATGGCGCGGCCCGAGTAAGTTAGTTTGTATTTATCGATACTGAAATGATTGCAGTGTGGCTGAAGGGGCTTTTAACCAGTTTTATCTGTTTACGTGTTTGCCAGTGGAAGAAATGTTGCATTATACTTGAAAAGGCAGGAAACCAGTTTTATCCGTTATTTTGCTTGTTCTCGTCCTCTCGAGAATGAAGAAAGCACAAAATTAATTTGGAACTGGAAACGATAACCAAAAACAGTATTTGGACCCGAGGCAGATGAACTGATTACGGAACGAAGAACCCGATACTTTGTATTTTCCGAGCAGTATTGTTAATGTAAAAGAGGGTTTGATAGAGTGCTACATGGCCCACATAGGCGAAATGAATGGTAAGCGGCCCTGTGGATGACGGTTGCCAAGCAACAGGTTGTGTGATGAGAATTCGTCGAGCGGAGGGCCCCTGTTGTAACGGTGATAACCATCAAGGTTACATAAAACCTACGATAAGTAACTTTTACAAGCCCTTGAAAGTTTCGTCACACTCTACAGTCACAATGGCAGGAGTTTTTTCAACTTTTATAGGAAAAAAAGGAGTTCTTTTGTTGACATTGTGCTTACAGTTACTGTTTGTAAGTGCGTTTTGGCGAGTGGGGAATTAAAAGTCTGCTGTATTGTAGGATCTGAGGCTCTCACAGCGATGGTTATGAAGAGTTATATCTTCTGAAATATAACGCCATGTAGTCCGTTGGAAGCCAGCCGACGTTTCGGAGAAACATATCTCCATCTTCAGGGCTAAAGAATAAGGCAAGCAAGACCAGCTTGAAGGCAAGTGGCAGGCAGAGCCTGATGATCCTGAAAATGGAGAGCTTCCGATATATTCCAGACGATCTAACTCAGTTTTCTGCAAGTCAGTTTGTTCTGTGTAATCTTATGGGTCCGCCCTTCGTCACCAACCCGCCACCTTAATGCATTATGGGTGATGTGAATGCAGGTTCGGTGCAAGCCTAAACCCCACCCCTAGCTGCGAGAAGTTACACACCCTCTTCCAGTTAGAAACAGATCAACTTCCTCAAAATTTCATCACAGTTATTGAGAAATTTCCAGATACTGCGGCGAAAACCCGTCATTGGTGTTGTACTTCTTAAAACAGCTTTATTTACATTGTTCCGTAAGATGTGTATATTACAGTCAAGTAATGGTTCAATGTGAATAAAAGATAGGCAGGAATTTATTTTCATTTATTGAAAAGAAAAGATAATGAAGGTATAAAAACTGTCATTATAACACGTAGCAGAAGCCTTATTTGCGCCTAAAGTGTCTCATATAAGAAATGAAAACGGTTTGTATAATGTGCCGTCCCTGGGCAACCGCTGGGATCGCCTTTACTGTTGCGCCTGCCTTGTATGAATGACATTCGAACTTATTCTGCAGTTGGGCTACTGCATTCCATGTCTTGTTCGCAAAATACTTGTCTCTTAACAGCAGTTTCGTTCTCTTCTGTTGCAGGCTACCCGGAAAGTGGCGAAATGCGGGTACCTGTTTGTAGCCCCAGGATGGGATTTTTCCAATCCCCTCAACCGGACCAAGGTGAGTTAGTTCATTACTATTTCTGATGTACTTGCAGGTCTTGTGAAACTGACGTCATGTGTTTCTGCTCTATTCAGTAATCGGTCTGCACGCCACACTTTTATAGTTCTGTGTACAGTTTCTTTATACAGCGACGTTTCGAATTTCGGTAATCATCGCTCTACGGTACCTGTGTTATTTATGAAACGGCTACCATTGTCAGACGGTGGAAGGAAATTTAAATTGTAACCACGTGTATCACCATTGTGATTTGGCAAGAGAGCCCATTTTTTTTTACATAACCTCCTTAAAATATTCTGCCAGATTGAATCCGGTTTTCATTTCTTTGGATTTCGCAGTATTTGTTTTGTCGAGCAAGGTCGTCAGCCTTGCGTCCAACCCCCAACCTGGAGGACCAGGTCCCTGTATTTATGTCCCCCAGTGACAGTGTGGCCCAGTTATACTCCCACGCACTGGGTTCACCTTTCATTGCCTTCTGGGACTCGCAGGGCTCGTATTTCGAGCCGCCTCCACACGAGGAAACCCCGTGTACGGTTTTAAAATTTCCGTGGACACTGACGAATGTCTGACAGTGTTGATGACATCGAAAACTGTTGCTGTAATAAAACACTGTATACAAAATTACAAATGTATGTTGCATAGACTGAATGCTACATGTACGCATACTGCTTAAAGAGACACAACATATCGCACAGGTACAACATTGCGTGTATAGTAAATTTATTGTTTATGCGCCCCATAATACAGGGCAACCTGTCTGTGTTGGTCACCTATGATTCCACTCAAATCCAGCTGACACATTCATTCAAGGGTAATTATCTTCTGAGATGTTACGCCGTGTAGTCCGGTAGAAGTCGGATTTAAGATTCTCACAGTGGTGGTTGTGAAGAGTTCTATCTTCAGGGATATACCACCATGTAGTCCAGCGAAAATCAGCGACATTTAGGAGGAACATGTCGCCTCCATCTTCAGGGTTGATTTTCAACGGACTACACGGTGTTATTTCTCGTTCTACACGAGATTGTAGAAACGGTACAAATATCCGGTTCTGTTGGGGATTGAACTCGAATGCAAGTGTAGGTTATTAATTCAGCTCACGTCTCATTTGTATTTAGGAGGTATCGGGTTCGAATCATGACCATGACGCAGACTAACTTCAGAAAGTTATCACAGCTTTCCATGACCCTATGGAACATTTCTAGGATATCCATTGAAATCGACATATGCTTCCGCTTCAGCTCTTTCATCAAGGTAAAGATAAAGGTAAAGTTGTCCCTGTGCTTAAGTAATTAAGCACTGCGCCGTGAAGGCGTACGGGATAGTGGATGTATAGATCACATTTTATTGACCTCGGCGCAAGTTGGAGGTGAGTGGTCAGCTTCACGCTCTGGTCGCTTTACCCCCGGGGAAAGAGACCGAGGTACCCAATGGATAGGCTGGATGAGCCCCAGAGCCGGTCTGAACAACGTGAAGAGAAAATTCTTGATTCTACAGGGACTCGAACTCCAACCCTTCTGTCGTCCAGCCCGTAGTCAGTCGCTATACAGACTGCCGTTCAACATGGACGTACATAATAGTATCTTAATCTAATAACCTTCTCAGGTGATGCAGCATTGTTAAAATATCTTAATAATCTACTAATCTGAATTGAACAAAGTTGAAAGTGAAGTTTCACAATTAGAAGTGGGTAAAATTTTTGCATTCGTCTTGTCTCTGTCATGCACATCACTTGCGCATGAAGTGACGAGATATATTTGCAGTTAATATCAAGCTGAGGAGAAGTCCGTGTCAAAAGGAGCATTGCTAATTGCCCACGGGACTGTGTGCCAGCGACTTCTGCGGGACAGTGACAGTTGAGTCGTGTAGGTCCAGCAGTCTTCAGATGCTTCTTTGTCATTCGAGTTGGCATTACAAATTTTTATGCACAGTCCGTCGCGCTTCGTCGAGCGATGACTGGAAACATCTTGTTGAAACTGGAGAACCCAGGAACCATAGTAATACATTAAAAACTTTTTATATGATTTTTTCTGTAAGAATTGAACAGTTATTTTTAAAAGGTAATAAAGATTTCTAGCTTGATTAGCATCGCTTATTTTTATAAGAGACATTCAGACCCGTCGCGCTTTCTAATAAAGCGATAAGTATCGAGGTTCGTCAAGGGCAACAATTTAATATAAAATAAAGTCTTCACATATATCGGCCACTACTGGCCAGCATCAGAAGGTATAGCCAACACTACACAGGGAACACTTTACTTGCAAGATAAACACATGCTGTTGTTGTAAAGGATTAAGTTGAAAAATGATACACCATTTTTTTGAAAATACAGCCGTCACCGGATTCTCTTACGTGTAGAGTAAGAACTTTTACTTAATTGAACAGATATTGTCGGCCATTTTTTTAACTAAATTAACTTCATGGAGCTGAACCCTTTTTGAGAAGCCGCCAATTGCGCAGCTACTCAAGAACTTCGCAGTATTTTATGGAACCCGAAGGTTCAGTACTGTCTTCATAAGAACCCTCCACTGGTCCCTATCCTGAGCCAGATCGATCCAGTCCACACTACCCCGTCCTATCTCTCTAAGATCCATTTTAATATTATCCACCCACCTACGTCTTGGTCTTTCTAGCGGTCTCTTTCCTTCTGGATTTCCCACCAATATCCTATGTGTATTCCTCTTCTCTCACATTCGTGCTACATGTCCTGTCCTATCTTTTTTAACTTATTATGATTACATTAGTATTTTAATCGTGGAGCTGGGATAGCGCAGTCGGTATAGCAACTGGCTACGGGCTGGATGACCCAGAGGTCGGCGTTGGAGTCCCGGTGGGGTCAAGAATTTTCTCTTCACGACGTCAGAACTCGCCAACAGATGGCATTACAGGGCAAAAAAAAAAAAAAGAGTCCTAACGGATCCTGGACGCACCGTGTATATTCTCACAGTTGTTGAAATAAGAACGGAGGAAGAATGACCGGATGGGGGTTCGAAGTGTGGAAACGGAAGTTGGAAACAAAAGGATTGATGATGGAAAAGTTGTATGTCCTTTAGGTGGAGAGCTATAAGCCGAAATACAACAACTTTGGTTAGACGGTTGTTCCTTGAAATGGCTGAATTATCACGAAAAAGAGCATTTTAGAGCGATATTTAATTGTAATAATAATAATAATAATAATAATAATAATAATAATAATAATCGTCATTGCCAAAAGAGCCCTGTTTGAACGTCAGCATTGCTTAAGAGATTCTGCCATATTTATTCCGCTTTTCAGTTCTTTGGATATCGAAACATTTTTTTCGCGGATCAAGGTCGTTAGCCTTGGGTCCAACCCCAAATCTGGAGGACGAGGCCTCTGTGTTTGTGTCCCCCAGTGACAGGATGGCCCAGTTATACCCCTAGGCACCGAGTTACCTTTTCGTCATCTTCGCCCATTCGCAGGGCTACGGTGGAGATATTCTGATTCGCCTTCACACGGGATAGTTTTAATAATATTATGTTATTAATATGTCCCTGCAAAAGACAGAAAAATATGGCCCCCTCTACGTTTTGAATGTGAGAAGGAAACAGAGGTTGGCTTGAGTAGAACAGAAATAACAACATAAGATCAGTAAGACTAATACGGTGGAGCAGAGTAGGAGCAGGCCAGTGCACTGTTTCCGGTCCGTATCGGGCTGCATGATAACTCCGGGAGCCTGAATGCGCTTGCAGTGAGCTAGAAAGTGTTTTTGTGCAGTCACGAAAAAATCTCGAAATGCTTCACCGGCTGCTGCTGCATTTCCCGAAAGCACCTATATTGACTGTTGGTTGCTCTCCTGCCAAAATTGTGCTTCGAAACAGCTCTAATATTACCGTATTTACGCATGTATAGGCCGCACATTTTTTGCCAAAAATTCAAGAGGAAAACTGGGGTGCGGCTTATATTCGAAATATTCGAAATCACACTTCATTTAAAAAAAAATTTATTCATAATTAGTAATACAGGGTGTAATACTCCTGAAATAATATTCCAAGAAAATTATTTTTTCTACAATTTATGTCTGAAAATTGTGCTGCGGCCTATACATGCGTAAATACGGTAAATTGGAGCGTCATATTGCACTGCTGGTATCTGAGTTTGCGTTCCGCTTTTTCTTTTTGCCGTCCATGTGCAACTTCGGTTGATGTTCTCTCCGCCGTTGTCTCTGTATTGACGCTACAGGCCGAAACACGTAGTGTCAATACAAATAAAAAGAACAGATAATATTGTCACATATTAGGGATTTGCGTATAAGACGGGTTTTGGATTTGATGATAGCTTTTATTAGACTTTTATACAAGTTGTTATTACATTTCACAAATCACTGTCTTCCACTATACACTCTCGACTTCTGACCACATTACATTATTCCTCTCTCTCTCTCTCTCTCTCTATATATATATATATATATAGGGTGTTTCACGACTTTAGGGCATAACTGCAGGAGGTGATTTCCTAGGTCTTTGTGATCAAAAAAGTTCATATAAACGTGTGTCCGATTTTGGACGGTTACGGAGTTATGACCGTTTTTTCATTCCCGTACACTCCCTCTTGTGAACCGCGTCTGTCAGCTGGCGGGTCGCTAATTTTAGCCAGCTACAGACAGAGCGTTCTCATTATCTCGGAACTTGAGAGGTACCTAAGGCGTGGTGGG